TTCGATTTCAATTCGCGGGGGCCTGAAATCTTTTATGCTTAAGAATTGTAAAGTGGATTTCTTAGGAAATTCCAAGGTTGCCTTTCACTTCCGAGTAACGGGCGGAGGTATGCAGTCTCTGAGTGCCCTCTAGTTTTATAATGTGATTATGCTTGTAATGGGATAATTATGCAGTCATGCAGGAAATAAAAAATTCATGCAAACAATATTCAAAGTGTATATACAGCCGGCTATTTAGTAAACTGTCACTTGTCAATCCATACCATAGATATCTTATACACACTAGATAGCGCATCTCTTTTAGTAAAATTGAAGCCAAGAATATTCCAGCGGTTACCCCCATTTGAATAGATGGCGGCCATGTTGGAGTTTCCCACCCGCTAATAAACGCTTAAAAAACAACAATAACTTTCATCATTTGAATAGTTTGAAAATGTATTTGGAATAGGTTAAACTTAATGTTTAAGTTCCCTGTTTAAGAAATGGAAAACATACGAGTCTTCTCATTTCATGGGAATATCCCAAGTCTGCAATCACGGCTTCATTTTTTGAATTGCAGAATAATTAGATGTACTATCTAGTGTATATAAGATATCTATGATCCATACTCATCGAATTTTCAAAACTTTATTGTGATCATATGAAGCAAAAGTTCTGTCACTTGTTGTTCACACTTGCCAATGTTAACTGTTGAGTAACATACAAACTATTCGAGGAACATGCATTACTGTAGCAAAGAGTCAATCATATATCGAAGACCATGCACTGAATAGTAGAGAATGTTTTGAAGGTCATGAGTGAAGTATATAATTCAATTCCATCCCTGTGCACAGTTAATGATACACCACACTGTTCGGTTTAACTCAGCATATCCACACAAAAACAATTTGTGTTGTGGGAGAATATCTGTTTGAGTAGAAGGTATCACAAGTTTAGTTTTGTACATTGTGTGCCATTGATCTGATCCATCCATATAATCAAGATATTTTGAAGCCAAAATATGGCAAAGAATAACACGAGTACATGACTTACACGAGGCCAAACTACGCCCGTTCGCAGGTTAGGTGCGAGCACGATGTAAACAATTAATGTAAGCTAATCGCTGATTGGCTTAATTATATAAGCTCGTCGCTGAATGGCTATGGGTAACGTTAATACTAATATATACACCGGCACTGTATTGATATATGTTCATAACTGTAAGTTTTTTCATTATAAAAGTGTATTTTCCCAATTTAGATTGGGTGGGTGGGTCATGAAATAAATTTGGTAAGATTGGATGGGCTTTGGAATTTTTATCTACATCCAAAGATGGATCACCAAACTTATTGGCAATATTTAATACGCGAAACTACTTTGTTTTTACAAGGCTGCACGATTTTCACCGTTTTTGTAAATGCACATTTGCTTTGAGCCTTTAAAGAACTTAATATTTCAAAATATACCCCCAAACTACACATTAGACAGCAAGACAAAAGGTTTTGACGATGGAAACTTAGTTTTAGCTTTGTTTATACTTTCTAGTTTCAGTAGTTTGCACTCTTATGCTCAAATTCAACATGGCGGATTTATAAGGGCATTTTTGTTTTTAATTCGGACACCGGTCACGTGACCAAGCACGCATTCTAGGTCTAGTATTTCTTATTTTCTATGGAAAGGCTCGGGACCTTAAACTTGAACATTGATATTATGGACTAGAAAGGAGTTAAAATAGTTAAATCGCACTGCAATTGCATGTTCAGCTGTGCGGGGAGGGGAATGTTTAGAAGAGATATGACTCTTACACACAAAACGCGTGAAACGCGCGCGCAGACAATCAGTGGATTATTGAGATCAGTGTAGGGTAGACAAGAACGCTAAGTAAACAATAAACTCGTGTAGGAATTTCGTATTAAAGTTTATTTTCACTGTTTTTGTACTAAATCGAGTACTTTTCGAGGATAAAGGCTGATTTCCACTGTTGCGTTTTTCATACGTACGTATACGCACGTAAAACTTTAAATCCATTTAAATGTTACTTATGAAATAACCAAATAAATAAAGCAACGGAATTTAGTGTTCCGCAAGTTTTAGTATGCATTTGTTAACTTATTTGTAAAATATTTAAAAAATAGAAGGATTCAAAGTTTTACGTGCGTGTACGTGCGTACGAAAAACGCAACAGTGGAAATCAGCCTTAAATATCGTTACATCGCAACATGACGTTTAATAAACGTGATATCGATAATACCAAAAAATATTGATAGTCCGATATATCGAAAATTTCAATATTGAGTAATCGCTATTTATAAAAAAAGATAATTATCGGACAGTATATCGATATACCGCAACGGCCTATTGTACGAAACCCTTTTAGTACCGCGTTTAACTATCCATAGGACAACCTTTAATTTAACCGGAGAAAACTGGATTTTATGTAACTAGTTTGTTTTTGTTTATGTTTGGAGTTTTCTCGTCCATTCGTTGCAATTGAATTCTAAATCAAACCTTTCATTTTCACATAGTGCTAAGTTTCTCATTCACTTTATTGTTTTTTTTTGTTTAATTAAAGATTTTTGGCGTCTTTATGCGAAGAGTCAATCGAAGGCAATAGCAAAAACTGTGAGTTGTGTTGGGCAAAAGTCAGTTGATTCAGTTTTATACTGTTTGAATATTTGTTCCTTGATCAAGGTGGCAAGGTTGCACTTTTATTCAAAACAATTTTAAGAACATTTTGTCCCAAGTTTTGATTGGCTGATCAAAGCGATTAACACGAGCGAACAAAATTTTTTCGACTTTCGGCGTCTTGTTGTCTATTTTGTATGTCATTGTTAGTTTTACTCTCGATTTCAATTTGCTTTTCAAAACTGACTTCCAATGTTTACTTGTAAATTCGGAATGTTCGTTGTAAAGTTCCGAAGTTTGTTTCAAGGTTCGTTACGATGATTTACGACGATTCAATAGCAAGCGATTTGATTGGCTGGTTCACTTAACTAGCCAATTACAACCAGTGAACTACAACTTACTAAACTTGATTATCGTAAATCATCGGAACGAACTTTGAAACAAACTTCGGAACTTTACAACGAACATTTCGAATATACAAGTAAACATTGGAAGTCAGTTTTGAAAAGCAAATTGAAATCGAGAGTAATAGCTAAAAGTGGGAGTCTTACTGCTTGTTTTCAAACTATATAATAAGCAAAGCCACGGAAGTGACCTCAGTGAACCTCAAGACCATAGATATCTTATATACACTAGATAGTGCATCTAATTAGTCTGCAATTCAAAAATTGAAGCCGTGATTGCAGACTCAGGATATTCCCATGAAATAAGAAGACTCGTATATTTTCTATTTCTTAAACAGAGAACTTAAACATTAAGTTTAACCTATTCCAAAAACATTTTCAAACTATTCAAATGATGAATGTTATTGTTGTTTTTTAAGCGTTTATTTGCAAGTGGGAAACTCCAACATGGCCGCCATCTATTCAAATGGGGGTAACCACTGGAATATTCTTGGCTTCAATTTTACTAAAAGAGATGAGCTATCTAGTGTATATAAGATATCTATGCTCAAGACAAAGCCAGTTTAGGGACCGTTCATTAATTAAGGACCAGGGGGGGCTGGAGGAAAATTAGGGGGGGGGGGTTGCCAAAATTA